GCACGTGGTGCTTTGCTTTTTGATTTTATGACTTCTAGAGATTTAATTCTTTATAATGAAGAAGATCTTACTCCAACTTTTAATTCCTCAGTAGTCCAAGGTTGGACTGACCTTGCGATTGGCTCAAATACTTTCATTGATTTATGATTAAGATTTTGGAGAAGATGATCCTGATTTTGCAAGAGACGAATTGGCGTAATTCGACGTTTGCGAAATGCTGCTGCGGCCGGACCTGATGGTGTTCACGCTGTAATTGTTAAGACCATTTTTGATTTATATCCTGATTTCTTTTATGTTTTGTTCAATATGTGCTTAAAGTATTCTGTTTTTCCGGATAATTGGAAGATTTGTAGAGGTTATACTTATTCCTAAGGATAACGGTAAATCTAGACACATCGCACTTTTGAGTATTATTGGAAAAGTACTGGACAAGATAATGACAAATAGACTTTTACATTATATCATGAAATATAAACCTTTTCACAATAATCAGTTCGGGTTCGTGTCGGGTAAATGCACAAATGATGCCTTGTTTGAGGTTATCTCATTTATACGAGAATATAGGATAAAACAACATGTACTATTGGTGTCATTGGATATTGTTTCAGCTTTCGATAATGTTGATTGGAACTCCTTGCTGTTGAACATTTATGATTTGCATATTCCTAGGAATTTGTTTTATTTAATATTGGATTGTTTTAAGAATAGAAAGATTCTTTTTAATTGTTTCTCCGATGATAGGTATGTCTCTAACTTTGCTGTTAGTAGAGGCTGCCCTCAAGGCTCCTGCAGCGCTCCCTTGCTCTGGAACATCATTATGGATGAAATGTTGAAGCAAAATTATGCCGATAATGTAGAATTGATTGCCTATGCCGATGACACAGTTTTATTATTGAGAGATGATTCACTGGAAAAATTGGAAAGACTGTTTGACGAAACTTGTAAAATCCTTGATGATTGGAGTAGTAAAGAAAAATTGAAGTTCAACATGAATAAAACACAAGCTATGTTTTTTCCGAGGGGAGGTCGAACTGTCAGGCTTCCTCGGATAAAATATGATAATAAACGAATAAAATTTTACGAACATATCAAATATCTTGGTGTTATCTTTGATCCAAAACTAACCTTTCTTAAACATTTTAAGTGCATTCAAAGAAGAACGGATCAACTTTTACTTTCTTATAAGAGGAATTTTCCAGGTGACGTACTTACAAGGAAATCCTCTACCTTACTTACTATATATAATACAGTTGTATTGGCAATTATCATGTACGGCATTGGCGCATGGGGTTCCAGTACGTTGGTTATCCCTCAATGTTTTAGGACAGTTCCCACGGAGGTGGTGTGTATCTCGGTCGGTTTGCCGCCCTTCTCAGTCTTGTATAAATTTCATTATCAGAAATATTTATTATGATCTGGTAATATGGACTTTATTCAATATGATTCAAATATTGTTACTAAACATTCTTTTGAAAAATTTAATTACCATCTGGTTCATCTGACAAAACGTATTGCTTATAGTTTTGATAAAACTTTACCTAAAATTGATATGTATGATGTTTGTACGGATGGTTCGGAGATTGGGGGGGGGCGCATTGGAGCAACTTTCGTTACTTACTTTTATGGAACAGAAATTCATAATTGTCAGTATAGAATGAATTCTTATAATTCCGTTTTTCAAGCAGAGTGTGTAGCGGTCTTACAAGCTTTAAAATGGATTAAGATGAATGTTTACAATAATACTATTGTCAATTTATATACTGATTGCCACTCGTTGCTACAATTGCTCTCCCGCCCCGACAATACAAATTTGCTTATTCTGGATATAAAATTGGTGCTTGAAAATATGTACCCTAAAATTGTGTTGCTCTGGGTCAAAGCCATGTTGGGTATGCCGGAAATGAGAGGGCCGACATTCTGGCCAAGGAGGCTATTACTAAAGAGAACATACCATTTATGGAAATATCTGGCTCCAAACGAGTAGCTTTAACTCTCATGAAAGAATATTTTAATAATGAGTGGAAAAAACTGTGGGAAAACTCTGATAGGAAGAAAAACATGCTCATTGATATTAATATTGCAAATAAAATGTTTATTTACAATGATATAGATATGAATCAATTGATTACGGGACATGGGAGGTTCCCATATTACTTGAATAGGTTTAATATACAAGACAATGAATTATGTTTGAATTGTGGTGTTCCAGGAAATGCCAGACACTTCGTGGTGGACTGTACGCTAATAGATACTATTAGAAAAAGTTTTAATAATGTATCATTTGGTTTTAAGAATTTGAATTTTAAACACTTTAAGCATTTTTCAAGATTTCCAATGCGCTTTTAATTTTTTTAAAAATTCTAATGCTTTTTTAATTATTTTTTCTAATGCGCAATAATAGTCAAGTTGTTGGCATTTTGATTTGAGGGATTTACTTTGATAAGCATTATTGGTGGTGCAGTAATTTTTAGGAGTTTTAATTTAAAATTTTAATTACACTTGGGATTTAAAGGGTTTTAATTCTTAGTTTTTATGTGTGATGCGCTGTCAATTCCAATGTGTTGTTTGTTTGGCAGTATTTTGTGTTTGTGTTGTCCTTATATATGTATCTTTCCTTATTTTTGTTTTCTTATACTAACATATATTTTTCTTGATTAGTTATTTTTGGTTTTATGGGTGCCCCTTTAAGATCATAAGATCACTTCGTGATCAGGTGGGTGGGGAGCACTCCAGCAATCCCAGCAATCTCAACCTCATTCATTGTATAACTCAAAATGCACAAATATTATATCATCTGAAGAATTATCAAATCGCTGCCACATTTTGTGTATTTAATTTAATTGTCAAAATTTCTATTTTCTATTTCTTTGCTCCAAGTAGTACATTAGACAGAAAACGAATCTTACCATCTTAAACATAGATGATATTAAGGGTTAGTAATTTTTCATTTAAAACTTGTAGAAATTCTAGGAAACGTAGGACAACACAAAGAAATTTTAGTGAAAAATATCCATAATGTTCGTTATATCCGATTTTCGTATATCTGGAAAATTGCTGTAGCCCTATAAAATAGCATTAAGAGCACAGAAAAGTTTACGGGACCAAAGTGTTCATTCTTTACAGGCTGATTCTATGATCGTGGGACAAACTTGGAAGGTGGTTGAGCTTAATAAAGTATGTATTTTGTGTATAGGAACGTAGGGTCTAAAGTGACATCTTACGGCACGAAAGCAGAAAAAGACACGGGAGGAAAAATGAGTTTATTTACAAAATCGACACAAAACGATTTTTTATAGCGATACAGTATTCGCAAGAAATGTTCAAAAGCGCAATCACCAATAGTAGTACGAACTGCAACTGTGACTGGCCTGCAATGCAGCGGGTAGAGAACGGTAGTGAGCCGGGCAAACCGCGATCCTATGCATCAGCGGAAGAATTACTTGGATGCGGATTGGGCGTGGTGGATCAGTCTGATGGCCACTCCGGTCACCAGATTTATCTAGCATGGATTTATTTTTACGGGTGCCATGCTAATCTTCCCTGTATCATTCCAGTTTTAGTATATGAAGGGTATCATTTACGAGACTCCCGTTGACTCGCTGGAAGACCTCGTTGCACTAATAGCTGTTGCGGCTGCAAGCGTGCGCGAAATGCCTAACATTTTTCAAAATGTTCAATGAACTCCTCTACGACGCTGCAATTGTCTTCTACTGTTGGTGGTCGCAATGTTTAACATTTCTTTGTGAATACTGTATATCTGCAAAGAAGCGCGTTGCGTTGATTTTGTAAATAAACTCATTTTTCCTCTCTTATAATTTTCTGCGTTCGTGCCTTAACATATCACATTAGACCTACATTCTTATACAAAAAATATTTACACATCTTATACATACAAGTATCTTAACCAAGCTTTAAGTAATCATAGCCAAGACACAATAACACGCCGAATAAATACTACGCCGAATAAATTCTGGTTTCACCAACAGAAGGCGCCACTTGCTTATTCTTGTCCAGGCTTTCTTATCTTATCTAATCATTTTTCCTATCTTGTCCATTTGCGGTTTTGCAGCTGAGGATGGTGGTTCGGTAAAACCATCGAAACTAGTCCTGTGGAAATTTTGTAAATATAACGCTGATTTTTGTTGTTTGTCTTCTGAATTAGTAATCATAGCCATTTCCCATTTCATTATAATAGGTTTTCGATGAAAAAATTGTGCCTGTCCTTTTGTCACGAGTAATGTCGATTTTGAGCACCTGTTATTTAGATGTTCTTCTATGAAAAATATTGTTCTAAGATTTATCCCAGATATTACTAAATTTAAGACTCTAAAGGATCTATGTAAAAGTACAGTGACTAATTTGAAATTGCCAAATTTCATAAAATATGTTTTATCTGTATATGAAACAAATTTATATATTGATTGTGTTTAAAAATTTCTCTGTCTGTTTTAAGAAAAATCCTGCTAGTAACATATTTTTATGCATGTAAGTAGCATGTGTTATATGTTGTTTTATAAAGTATGTAATAATGTGTTATTTGTTGATGTAGCTGGTAAATCTCGCCATAAGTTCATATTTTCGTTGTTAATTCTATTTAATGTTATTTCGGGTAGTATGGCGGTTGTTCAGCTGCTTAAGGGCCTGATTTAGGCCTTGTTTTAGATTTCAACATTTCTTTATATAAATAGCACCACTAAACCCTGTTAAGCCTCTAATGGAGGTACAGGAAGTTCAATCAATCATACAAAAAATAAATGTTTTAGTGTGCTCAACCACCCCTCCAAGTTTGTCCCATGATCACAGAATCACCCTGTATATCTAGACGGTTATTATAAGTCGAATTCGCTGCAACGGCTTTGATTGTAGTAACGACAACTGTAAATTCAAAAGCTCGAAAAGAGTTATTCTTGCATTAAGTCAAGATACATTTTGTTGCATTTTCATGGAATAACACTGCGTTATTTAATGCTGAGATAGGAAAATCAAGCAGGCTCATTTACCTTTGCATAGGGTAGAGTATTCGGAAATTTAAATGGTTCTTTCTCATTGTATTCTCGAACTTTGTCTTCAAAGTCGGGATAACCTTTGTCATGGGGTGGACTAGGAACTATAACCAGTAGAGATTGAGCTGCCTTCATGGCAATGTCATTTAAATGTTGCCGCCGATCCATACCTGTAAAATAATAAATAAATCAAACAATATATTCAAAATACAATGCAGATTCAGAGAAGATTAAAATTTTTCACATATGAAAGTTTTACTTTTGAAACCTTCTCTCTATAAAATATTTATTCTGAGACCAAAGAAATTTTTATACAGTTCCCATCAAATATATATTGTTTCGAATTTTGTATTTAGTTAAATATTTTTTTGTAGAATTATAATTAATCCAAACGGGCAAATTACCCCTAATTAATTTCGATGTGGCATTTTGCGCTGAAAACTATAAACGGCGAATCACTTTTCAAATTTTTGCCACCAAATTTTAGAGCTCAGTATTATATTTAAAGAAATTAAATAATGAAGAATTTGCAACAATGCATGTATGTTTCTCGCATTCTGATAAAAAGACGGTACCTAGAGCCATCCAATTTTGAATGACGTAATCCTCCTGCGAATATGGGCATCTGGAAGACCAAATTTAAAACTTGGTATTTGTTTTATTATCGATTTCGTATTTTGTAAAATTTTAACGAATTTTTGATTAACAAACTCAAGGATCTCAAAGAGAGCCATGGCAACGTTGTACAGAAAAATCATTGTTATCTTCAGCGCGCGAGATTGTGTAGCGGAAGCTCTAAAGATAGGCTCATTTTAAAATTATTTTGCGATATCTGTTGAACTGAATTTTATGGTTTAAGTGCGAAGAAAATGATATTTAATAAATAAAGGTAACACACTAAACGTTTAAAAAACGTCCCTTTGGAAGTAATTTAAAAGCTTTCAGATGTTTTTTTCTTAAGATCGTTGTGTTTCCCTGTGAAATGAAGCGCGAGACAAATTTTAAGAGAAAGCTACGCCGGAAAAGGACGTGCATTTAACATAGAATAAATGGATATCTCTTTAATTTGTATTAAAATTGAATAAATGTAATTGAATACTATATTAGCTGTAACTGTAATTCCACTGATTTGCTTTTCAGAAATCTGGAGAAGCAGAAATTACTAGAACGTTCTCGCGACCGATTTAAAGCTAGAAAATGATCTCAACTCAGCTGCTGTTGTTATTTTTCCAAGTTCAGTTTGAGATCGGATTAGCTTTCTGATTGCATTGCATTGTTGTTTTAATTCTTTGAGTGTAGTGTGAAGTATAACTACTGACGCCTGATATTGTGAATATTTGTACGAATATCTCTGAGGAAAGTTCAAGCGCGCTGTTATATTTCTTTTGATAAGAATAAATTTTTATTAACTTTTTATTGGACTTGTGCATTCAATCTATTACGAATCCGCACGCACGAAACAATACTATTTTGCTTCCTTAAATTCACTCAAACACGTGTCGCTAAAATATTTGTGTTTTCGGCAAAACTATAATTTGAATCGTCATATTTTAATCATTTAACTGATTGAAAATTTATTTTGGGCTAAAAGGAAAAAAAACAAACACCTGTTAATGAGTTTTACTAGTGTATTTCCTCCAATCCATCAAGTAATTAACAATAATAGAGTTCTAAAAATCGCTTTCAATGCTTTTGAATTGCTGAATTAGTTAATCAATAACAGATTAAATTTGAAAGAAAAATCATGTATCTTACGGCAGTGCACAAATGGCACTATTAGCATATTTGGCATATCTATAACATTATTGATCATTGCCGTTCTTCTGCCCTATCTGCAATTCGAGTCGTGACATCATTATGATTATTCGTGGTTAGTTTAGCCATGAATACGTAACGGGTAAAATTAACAACGGCTTACGACAGAGTTTACCCTATAACAACGAAGTTATTCGTATGACAGCTTTAGTGACAGAACAACATCGATTACTGATCATTGCCGTTCTTCTGCCCTATCTGCAATTCGAGTCGTGACATCATTATGGTTATTCGTGGTTAGTTTGGCCATGAACACGTAACGGGTAAAATTAACGAGGGCATAAGACAAGACGAAGTTACTGGTCTGACAGCATTAGTGACAGAACAACATCGATTTTGCAGGTGCTGCATTCCCACACTCTTCTTACTGGCTTTTTCTTGGTGCTTCAGAGTGCACATCGTCGTGATGTTGCCTTCGATGGCTGATGCTTATTTTCTTGAAGACGAATTGCTGCATCAACTACTGGCTTATGTTTCTTGATTGCCATCTAGTGAGCTACAAGGGAACTTCAGAAACGGTCAGTTTTGAAAACATTGCGCTATTTAATGGAATACGAGTGAGTCACACGAGTGAGTAAGACGTTCAATAGAAAAGGTGGTTACTGTAGGTAACCACTGCATTACATTAAATTTCTATAAAGGAGATGAGAATACGTTAGACAATATTTCTGTAAATACCGACGAGCTAGCAATCATAAATTAAGAGATTTTTCAAACTTAATATGAATGTAAGTGGAAAGGAAAGTTTCCCAAAGATAAAATTTTTTCAGGACTAAATAATGAACTAGGTAGACATATGCATAATAAGGAGCTTGGTAGGTTTAGAAAATATCGACAAATGGTTTAATGAGCTGCGCAAGATTTCTAAAGAGTCCAAAAGAAGCAAGGAAAACTGCTCCGTATTTGCATTTTGAGGCGAAGAGAATTTACACAAATTCTCCTTTGAAACTTTTCCAGTTGGGAGAAAAAAAACTCAAGTATTTTTCCTCTTCATGTTCGAAAACGTATAGGAGGAAGACAGATTTTTCATAAAGAACTGAAAATGAAACAAACTGTTCTGTATGCCACCCTTGATGAAGACAAAAGGGAAAAGGAAGAATACATTGATGAGCCCGGTTTTCGAATAACAGTTCCTTAAACTAGCATTTGTATGTAGTGACTCTTCTCATCAATAACAGAATTATCAGTTCTCTATGACAATAACAGTTTTATGAGTTCTGTACTATAAACTGAGACAAATTTTAAATATTAGGAAAAGTAAATTAGGATTATTTGCCTGAGAGGAGTAAAAATTATTTGTGAAAAGTATTTTAATATTAAAAGCCGATTCATTTGAAGTTAAATGCCTACTTTTCCAATTCATGAAATTTCCTTTTCTACTTCCGTTTTACAAAGTAAAAGAAATATTAAGATCACGAAAAATTTCGGAGATCATATTTCAACGGAAATATCCATTTTGAATGTTCCTCAATTAATTTCACTATTTGACATTTTTGTGCGCGTCGTCTGTACGTACTGACAGAATAAGGATCTCTTTTATCCAAAACGGATTAAAAAATGGGTGAAAATTAATTTTTTTTGTTCGCATAACTCTATTAGCGGTACAATAAGTGAAATTTTCTAAATGAGACTTCTATAATATCCAGTTTTTCATCTTCCTTTTTACTTCCTTGTACGAAATAAAGAAAGTATTGTAATCACGAAAAATTCTGGCTACCATATTTCACCGAAAATATCCATTTTGACCGCTATCGAATGCAATTTAATGATGTTTTTGCTTGACGTCTGTACGTAAGGACAGAACAAAGGACTCTTTTTGCCAAAACGAATTATTAGTGCAGTCTACAAAGGCCAGTTAGTTACCTTATGCATGGAACGGAGGTCTTTTCAAGCAACCGACTTAGAATACCTCAGCCACTAGTGCAGAACAGATATACTAGTTTGCTCAAATGGATAGACCTGTTGATGGAAACGTTTGTTCAGAAGTAATGCGAGGCCGTCCAGTTGGGTAAAATAAGGAATTGCAAATGAAAAGATAACTGAGTGAAACCATAATTTCTGCAGTATTACTCCTCCTATATTTGTGATGTTAAAAAGTTATTGGTCAATATAAAACACAGTGTCATAAACTTTTGTTTTAGTTAGGGTAATGGTTATGTAGAAGATTTGCGATACTCTGCAATAACGAAAACTTTTCCCGAAGAATTATGATTTTGTGAACTCTAAAACAAGAAGATTTTGAACTGAACTGCTGAAAAATTTAATAGGACTCTAAAACTTAATAATAAAAAACTACTAACTTAATATATAAAAATAACTCTAAACTTAATATATAAAAATTAAACTTTACAGTTATTCAATTAATTATGTTGGTCAAACATTTTATGATTTACATTTATCTTCGTTTGTTACTGCTTTAACGCTTTTTCATTAAACAAAGCTTTCTGTCACTAAGCCTTTTTCTGCTTGAAGGGGGGATATGTAAGACAAATAAAGATTACGTAAAAGATAAATTATAATTTAAATTAGCAGCTTAAGTTAAATTATCGTCTCTATTCTAAAAACAGTAGTTTCTCTTTGCACTGCGTCATTTTGGGACTAACCCATGTCATATGACTCTTACATAATTCCGATTATGTCAATGGAACTAAACCTCAAACAATAATAATTTTACAGCAGTATTAATTATCCAATCAAAATTCATTAAAAACCAAAATTATTTCATTCTGAAATAATATTTTATCCTGAACATACGGCATTCGCTTGTTACTCTTCCGCCTAGGTGGACTGCTGTCTGATGTTTTTTCTCACTGCAAAGATATGAAAAATGTACACATTTTGAAAATAGTCACAAATATTGTGCCAAGTTGTTTGTGGCCGCAGGATGTTTACTAAACCAAAATGAAGATTTAATCTACCTGGGCTGCCAGTTTCATATTCATTGTAAATCTGTATTCAGCATTCTTCGACATCCAAATTCTTGCTGTTCATTACAGATTAAACCTTTGCGTTCTACACAATTAATATTGTAAAGTCCTTTTTATTGCATACACAGACATATATATATATATCTATCCATTTAAATTCATGTTACAATCCACTTTGGAAAAATAGTCCTTATTCTACTCCGGTATACAGATGTCATGCAAAAACATCTTTCAAATGGATTCCAAAGCGGCAAAATCTATTTTTTCGTTAAAACACGGTACCCAAAAGTTTTCGCAATTACAGAACTTCTTTTACTTCGTACAAGGAAGTAAAATGTAATAAATGCAGCGATTTCCAATACGTACGATAAAATTAAGTTTCTTCATTAAAAAAAAATAAGTTAAAATGCTTTTATACATTGTTATCA